GAAGCAGAAATTCTTGTGTTCTGCTTTAGGATTTAAACTTCCAATGAAGTCACACATCACATACGGATATCATGGGCAAGTGCAGCCCAATACAATCTCTTGCCTAAATTGAAAAAGCTAGGAAACCCACAAGCAGATCCACACATCAGTGGGGGATTTATCTGCTTGGTACCCCCTGAATGTATATCAAGGACCAAACTGTGAAAGGAACTCTGACTGTGCAAGGCAAGTGTGACAGATATGTGGTTACAGGGAAGAAAAAAGCCAAGATACTGGAACCAAACATCAAATCTCCTGTTTCTGGAAGATGTAATTAACTATTGTGCCCAATAGTCCTGTTTGTCTCACTGGATGTCAGGCTGAATCCGAAGCACTGCAGGCCAGGGCCATTTATACTGCTGGTATACAGCAGAAAGCCTCCCCAGGAAATTCCTCAACAATTTTAAATGCTTTTAAATCTCAGTTATTTGATGGTTTCCATTATTCTAAAAAAAAGAACATGCAGAAGTCTGTGAAGAACTGAAGAAAAAAAATATAGAAGGTTGTTCTACTTTGATAATGCTCTTTAAAGTATTCTGCCAGCTCTACTCTTGATAGTAAACCTACCCCTAATTTTCACTAAAATTGTGCTTTTTTTGTAATCAGAGCAAGAAGAGCTAGCGAGTACTTCACAGCAACCCTGCTTACGTAGGACTTTCTTTTCTTGTACTCCACAGAAATTATTTTGGGAGCACAGGGAGTTGTGGATACGTTGGGATGCAAAGTGCACAGCAGCTCCAATGGGGAGGGACTGTCCTCCCATCCAGCAGCAGCCTCCCATTTGCACACTGCTTCAGTGTGACTTATTGGCATTTAGGAGGCCACTACAACCAACCCTGAATAATGTATTTATAATATCTAAAGAAGAAGAAAAGAAGTGTTAATGAGAAATCAGCTCATTGTCATCTTATTTTTTCCACATATTCAGTTATTTGTCATCTGCTTGTGTCCTCTGACTGACAATATTCATGCCAGCTGCTGGCTGAATGGGAGCCTTCCAGCATGCCTAAATAGACTGTTTGTCTTCATTAGGGCTTTGTAGGAATTCATTCAGCAAGGACTTGCAGGCTGTCATTAGGCAGGTCCAGTCTTTCAAGTTCTGCTGCCACAATCCAAGATATTTGCTTTAACAGACTTTCCCTTGTTTTTTTTCCTTTGACAGAGGAGAACCAGTTTCTATTACCCCAAGTTGTTGGGATTTTTTGTTGTTTCCCACAACCGTGGTTTCCAGGCATACTTCCACATTGCACTACAAGGGGAGAGAGGAAATGCACACACATACTCTACATCTTTAGGATAATAGATTTCATTGCATTGCATTTATTTGCTCCCCACCTTTTTTCCATAAAACAACTTAATAATGAGTTCATATCAACCAGATGATTGAACATCAAGGAAGAGAGAGACTTAGCCTGATCTTTGATTTTTCTGCATCAGGAGACAGATGAAATGATACTATATTAAGTGGATAAAAAAGGCACATAACCTCAGTAGCTGAAGTTGAATAAAAGTTATTCTTAAAGTCAGGGCAAGATTATTGTTCTGTTTCTAAACAAACATTCTTGTCCTTCAGCATGCTCAGGAGAAGACATGCAAAGCTGGAGTCAGGCTTTAGATGCTAGAGGATATTCAAGAGAAACAGCAGCTGTTTTTTCTTTGAATTATTAGAATCTTAGCCTTTAAAAAAAATTCAACAGCAATAGTAGACACTTCTCCTACTTATTCTCCTTCTGAGGACTGGATCAGTTATTACTTTTACTCAAAAATATGTCATGGTTTAACCCAAATCAGCCACCAAACTCCATGTGGCCACTCATACCCCCAAAAAGAGAATTGGGCAGAAAATTGGGAAGGTAAAAGATCAAGAAATCATGGGTTGAGCTAAAGATAGGGAAATCAAAAGCCACACACACAAGCAATGCAAAACAAGGAATTAATCCATTGCTTTCCATGGGCAGGCAGGTCTTCAGCCATCTCCAGGAAAGCAGGGCCCCATCACATGCAACTTGGGAAGACAAATGCCATCATTTCAAACATCCCGCCCTTGCTCCTTTCCCCTCACCGAGGAGGATGTCATATGGCCCAGAATATCTCTGTGGTCAGTTGGGGTCACTGTCCTGGCTGTGTCTCCTCCAGCATCCTTGCTAGACTGGCAGCAGGAAAAGGAGAGGTGGCCCTGGTTCTGTGTAAGCCCTGCTCAGCAATAACAAAACCATCTCTAGATTACCAATCCTGGGTTCAGCACAAAACATAGCCCTGTCCTAGCCACTGAGAAGAAAATTATCCCACCCAAAACCAGCACAGCATGGTCATGTGGCATCAAGCTTTTGAGTACAATTCACCACCTTCTCAGACTATTTATCACAGGAAATATATGCTAACCATAGGATGTATGTTATGCATTTCCCTTACGGAGGTTGCTCTTCAAAAAGAGTCCAACTTCATCACAGTTCCAAATCAATACCGAGAGGAAACAATCCTTCAGGGGACATACAAAGTCTACTATTCTGTTATATACACAAGGCACCAGAGGTTTGGAAGGAGTGCTGAAAGGCCATTGCCAGGAAAAAAAAAAATTAAATGTAGAAAACAATGCTACCCCTAATTTAAAATGTAGGACTAGGTCATTAATGTGTGCCCATTTAGATAGAACAAGTATTATCTTAAAATAAATTAGGTTTATCTATTGTATTACAGCATATTTATTTCAGGAATCTATTCGAGGAATTCTTTAGGGTAACACATAGCTTGGATGTCAACTCATGAGGACTCCTAGAAATCACCCTAAATATCTTTTTGCTAACATTTTATTGCAAAACCTATAACTTGAGTTTGCTGGGGAGTAAAATTTTGTTTTCAGAGATCTACAAGAACACTTTAGCTTTCATTTAGTTTGATTTGAAAATAATTAGTTTTAGCTTTATAACTTTATGCTTGTAAAGAAAAGGTTGAAAATATCAAAGAATGCTCAAAGATATAGGTAAAGAGAAAAAATATGTATTTTGTGACACTTATTCAAGGAGGGTCTATGTAAATTACATTTCATTGAGAAAGAGAGTAATGGTTTAAATATTTCTGCAAATTACTTTAAAGGACATAATATTCAGTAAAAACGAAGGAGAACTTAAGAGACTCAGTAACAAAGAAAAAAACACCAACTAGTTCTCAAAGAGAAACAGTCAGATCATTCATAATGAATTAAAACACTTACTGGCAAAGGTAGATTTTCCCGAGGAATGAAAGCATTCCAAGAGTTCTGACACACAACCTTCAATTTTTCAATTTGTTTTAAAGGTTGACAAGTTTTTTATTGGACTTTCAGAAAGCACAGCCTGGTTGTTAACAGTGTTCTGTCTTTAGTCTAGGATAAAGTATACATATTAATGCATTTATCCATCATCACAGCATATAAAATAGAAACAGGAATTGCTTCCTCCAATCACAAAGGAAGGCTGTGTTTTCTCCCAGAAGAAATCCTGCACTGCACTGTCTCCTGACTCTCTTGCAACAGTCAGACCCATCTCTTCTGGGAGGAAGCACAGACTCCCAAAGAGGATCCTTGCACAAAACAGTGGAAAGAAAACTGGTTATTCACCAGAGAAATAGGAAGCCTGAAAGGTTCTGAGTAGAATTAACTTTATTCAGTAATTGAGGTAGATTTTCATAAGTTAGGTAATAAAAAACACCTGCATATTTATACTACATTTGCAAAAACATTCATTCGGCCTTGGACTGTAAAATTGATGCACCACTTCTATCATACAACCTGAGGAATTAAAATCCTCTGTGAAAAAGATGCCAGGTACTACCTACAGCCCACAAAATACTCAACACTCAATTTAGATCCTTTGGATTATATGACTGAACCAGATTTTTTTTTTTAATATTATAAATAACCTTTATCCCCACAGGGAAGTTTAAAAAAAAAAAAAAAAACAAAAAAAACCCTCTGTTTTACCTCATTTTGTTATTAAAGTTCAGGAAAGAACATCCTCAAAGCAGAAAGCATAAAAGTTCCTCATGATTTTCAATTGTATTTTTATACTATCTTTTATACTATCTAGGCATTTGCTTAAAGATTGGCATTATGTGGTAAGTAGCAGAATATGCTCAAAACAGAAAACCTCTTCTTTCACTTATTCTCCCTCAATATCTCCTTTAACAAGACAAACAATAGTAAGGCACATTTCCAGTATTTTTAGAACAATATTTTCTTCTTTAAAGATGACCAGAAGGAAGATGATTTGCTGACTGTTAAAGAATATCAGGTTCTACTATTCATTGCTTATTCTCTCTCTTCATCTAGTTTGGTGTTTGGGCTTTTTTCCCCTTTTACCACAAATTTTACAATATAGAAATTGTTCTCTTGTTTAAAAAGTTTATAGAGAATTTATCTACTCTCCCATTATTTTTCTCCATAATTATAAATCCTGAGAAGAATTTCAATAAGATATTCTAGAGACTGAGTTTTGGTTGTTGAAATGCATTGTAAATTCATTCTATTATTTATCATAGTATATATTATCTTCATTATATATGTTATATATTATATTTATTATATTAAAATATATTTATTATTACTTCTAGAATCAACAGTAATAAAATTCACTGTTCCCTGTTGGCTAAAAAAATTGTTTCTAAGCACACAAACAAAATGCACACATGAATTTGAGACATTAAGTTTCCTTTCCAGGGAAAGGGATGATAATTGACACAACTTAACACCCAGTAGGCCTTCCTGTCCCAAGCAGAATACAGCACATGTAGCCTGACAGACACTCAATTCCTTAATTTTAAAGAAGACTGTGGGGCTGAGAACAGGAAACATGAAAGAGAACTGTGAACTTGAAAACCTGTGGTGTTCTTGATGCACAGTGGTTATTGCAGTCTGTTTGTTATTTCTGACATGAACAGCAACAGGGACTTGCATCATTGCAAACAACACAAAATTTGACACCTACCTGCAAGTACAGAACAGCTTTAGAAGAGTTGTTCAAGGAGGATGTGGAACTTGCACCCTCTGAGGATTCCAAGAACAGAAACAATAACCACGCTTCTGCAAAAACTTAAACAGAACAATAACTTTCACAGGTTGCTACTATCTTTGAAGTAAATGAGAATATTTGCATGTGAAAGTTGAAGCATTGTTAAGCCAATAGTCTCTATTTTCCCAAGCTGTGCCCGGAGCAGGCAAAATGAAAAATCAACAGTCCACATTATTTATTTAAACCATAGGAAAAAACCCATACATGTGTGTGTTGTAATTTATTTTAGGGAAAAAAAGAGCTTAAAAACTTTGTCACTAATTTAATATACTCAAATTATTTAACTTTATTTTTCAGAAGTCCTACTTTTAGAAGAATAGAACAGCTAGCCTCACATCCCAGTGATGATTTAAAAAAAAACAACAAAAAAACCACAGGAAATCCAGTCAACAATACTGAGGAAGTTGTTTCAGGAAAAGAATATTCTCTTACAAGAAAATTACAAAGTTTTCCATGCTGAAAGATATCAGTCAAGCTCTTACTTGCAGAGCCTAAACTGACACGAATAAGCAATTTATCAAACATCTCCCAAATCACAAAAGCAAAATGCTTCTCTACAACCAGCACAAGAACTCTAGAAAAGTCAGTTTGGGTCCTAATAAAGTTTAAAATGCCCTCAAAATCTTGTTATATAGGTGAGCTAGAAGAAGAGAAAAAACAAATCCCTAATTATATATCCACAGATAGATCTAACCAAAATTGTGTCATAAAAAAAGAAACTATAGAAATCCTATCAGAAAAGAGAGAGAGTCAGAAAAAAGCAGTAAACATCCAGAACATGGAAAAACTTCGTATCAGAAGGTGCAGTGGCAGCAGCTCCATAGCCTCAAAGTTTATGTATTTGCCTTTTTTCTCCCCACAGTCCTGTAATTATAAAGACTCCTCCAAGAGGAAACCAAGAATAAATGCTTCTAGCAAAAGTAAACGGATCATTTTACCCCCACTCTTTATCTATTCATCCTATTATCCTTTGCACCCAGACAACAATGTTCTGGAGCATCCTCTCATAATCCTTCAAACAATACCAAGTGAACACTTTGAAAGGTAAGTTTTGTTGACTTCCACTGCTCAACTGGAAAATGACCAGGAATGCATTGCATTCCCTAAAACTTCCAAGAACCCATTAACCCTATAATTAAAAGTGAAAAAAATACTGCTCCTAACTTCTTACTCTATGCACCGTGTTGCACCGTGCGATGCCTAGAAAGTTTGATAAGGGCAGTATATAAAACTACCAGTTCATAGATTGCTTCTTGGCTCCATGATATGGAATTATCCTGCTGATTTAACACTACATACTGTCCCATTAAGCCCTCTATTTATTATGTAACCACAAGTGCTTCAGCACAGAGTATTAATTACATTTTGCGTTAATGAATCTGGAGACACTTTTCCAAACAGTATTTCCTACAATTGTTTTTCACAAGTCTTTCTCCACACACACTCCTTGTGTGAATGCCACTTTGCCTAACCTAATTCCAAGCTCTTCTTGTTGCCAGCAACAGCTGCACTCACAGCACCCTCCTCTAAGTGAAAACAGTTTTACAAATGCCACAATTCTGCTTTCTCCTTGCTGTCTACGGTGAAATAGTTACAGCAGACTGTGGGTGAAGCTCCACTTCTGCAGAAATAAGAGCTCCAAATCCACAACAGTGTTTAGCATGATATTTTCTGATGTTACCCTTCTGAAAGCCTCACCTTCCCTGCTGCAGTATGCTGTGCTACCAACTGAGCCTCAGACAAGGTTTCTGGGGCCAAACTTTGGCTTAGCTATCAGGTGATGTTAGATAATGTCCAAGACCTAATAATACATCCACCTTAAGGGGAAGACTGGACTCTGTTAAGCAGTTGCGAGTGTCAGCAGAGATACAAGCTCAAAACCAGGGAAATTCAGAGGAGTCCCCAGGGGAATAGATAGAGGAATATGGACCCTGTCTTAACTTAATGAGTGCAGTCAATACCCTGAGCAATTTTGTGGATGGTATCTGCACATCAGGAAGTTGATCTTCATTGCTTCTGTGTGATCTCCTGCTCACCACCAGCATGGATTATCTGAGCAGTCAGAGTAAGAACCTTGATCTGCCCTCTCCTTCAGAGTACAGTCATTTTCTTGCAGGCAGGCAGGATTATGTAGCTATTATGTGCGGCAAGATGATTGAAAGCCTAGGAGACCTACTTTTAGCAGGTCAGCCCCAGTGTAGCCAGAGGTGTCCATAGGGATTGACATGCAAATAACCTTAGAAATGACTAATGGGGATGAAGCAGGGAAGAGAGGAATTGCTGTTGACATGGCAAGGTCCCACATATCCATGAGAATAAAGACAGCATAAGAATTGTACACATTTAGACTTTGGCATTATTCATACCATCACCTCTCACTATTGTAGGCAAACCACAGTCAGTGATTCAGCAACACAGGCCCTCCGTGCACAGCACTCCTGCTGAATGCAAATGCAACAAACAATGACTAATTTCAGTTCAGCTTTGTGCTCATTCTCCTTGGGAGAGAAACTGGCTGTTCCACTCACACAGCATAAGTGAAATATTTGCTTCTGTTCAACACTTAGGAGTACAACCAAAACTTAAATTGTTCCGCTCTTGCTACAGCCACTGCTCACAGCTACAGGGACACAAGGATAAACAAAAAACGGATCCTGTTTTGAAGAGAGAGATACTTACAAGAACATTATTTCAGTCAATTTTCTTCCCTTACGACAGACATACCTTGCAATGTCTTGAGGTCTATAACTTCCAACTGTTAAGCCTTTATTATAAACCTTGACCACAGATATGGTGGGGGATTTCCTAGCTTTTTGGCTGATTTAATAAATACCTGTGGTGGAAAAAGCAAATGTTTGCTGCCAAATGCTAATAAGAAGCACAGGACATTGGATTGAAAGAGAGTGCTAAAGTAAGTGAACAAAGGCAGGGACTGATGGGGAATCCCAAACTAGAAATAACATTTAAACTGTTTTTCCACAGTCATATTTAATAAAGAAATCTACATGGGTAATATGATATCAATAATTTGAAGCCTTTAGAAAGAGACATCTGGCATTAAGTTATATACTCCTGCCCTATCTCAGCTGTGAGAACCAAGATGCCTGTAGGAAATGCAGGGTGAAATTGTAAAGATGATCATAATGGTCTGACTGGTGTTCACACCTCTGAGCCCTTCCTGAATCCACAGGAAAGTCTGGTGTACTTTTTTTGTTTATGCTTATGCAGGAGTCAAGAGCCTGCTAAGGAATTTAGTTTCCCTTTAGCATTTAGCAGGCTCTGCCTTCTTGACTGAGCAGCAGTTCATGTTAAATCGGAAGAACACTACAGTAAAATTCACCCTTGGGAGGGGTATAGGAAAACCAAGTGAGAGCATGCAAGAGAGCTCTGGAAAGGACAGACTGAAATGAAACAGCATTTGAATATCTAGAAAGGAAATCCAAAAATGGAAGCTGTAAGTATACTGTAACTACAAGTGTATATCTTCAGTTTACAGCTCCAATAAAACCTCAGCAACGTTGATCTGGTCTGGAAGATCCCATTTCTTCTGCAACAAAACTTTATATATATATATACAGAAAATTCAGAGACAAACAAAAGCAGTAAAAACCACCATAAAAAAAAGAACACCATAAAAACCTGCCATATTGGATTTGGAAAAAAAAATTACACTGGAGGCAGATAAAATATCAGTTTCCAAATAAAATAAGACAGAAAGCAATTATTTTTCATAACCATTAGGAACAGGAAAACAAGAATGTTTGCTTAATTTCCAATAAAACTAAATACTAGAGTGAATTCTGAAGGCACTGAGAAAGGGTTGAAACACAAAGTTAAGACTAGCTAGGGAGACTGGAACATCATTCCTGAAGGTTTTCAAGAGCAGACACTAGCAGAAAATGTTTTAAGGAGGGCTGAGTACACTTGACCTCACACTAGCACAGGCACAGATTAATTGGTCCCTGGCATTCCCCCCAGCACACAGCTCCAGTCTTTGTTGAAAAGGCAGAATAGGAACTGTCTTATCTAAAGAACAAAGCAAGTTTCTGTTCTTCCTTTTTTTTCAAAGAACACAATATGCCTACCTCTGCTCTCAGGTTATCTTTTAAAGCAGTCAGCAAACTATGGCTACTTCCAACGTTGTTGCTGAAGAAGGGAACAGAAATTTCTGCTGTGATTTGAAGTAATTTTCTACCACACGCTCGTCCTCATTAATCAACAAAGAGCTTCAGTGCACACTCATGCTATAAATTTCAACTCCTTTTTGCAAACTTTGTGGAGAAACCTTTTGAAACCCTCAAGTAGTTTGTCTTAAATAAGGCTTGTCTCTTTAGCAAGTTCAGCAAAAGAAGTAATGAAAAAAGAATCAGTAAATTTCAGTTTTGCTCCACTGTACACCAGCATTGGCCCAACAGAAACTGCAGCTGGCCCAGAGACTGAAGCAGCTTCTCTGACACAGATATGAAAACTTAGCGGAGGAAGGACCATGCACACAAAAAATTAAGTAGTTTTAGCTTTCTAGCATGAAGCTAATCACAAACATACAGTTTATTAAAAAACAACAACAATAATACTGTTTGTCCTGCAAGCAGCAAGGAAGGAGCAACAGAAATAGTTTATATTATCTTGACTAACTTTATTTGGGAGGGAAGTGTTCAGGCCTACAGTGAAGATAAACAGCTCTATTCTAAGCTCATTATTTGTAAGCATAAAAAGGAACCTAAGTCATTCCTCTTCTGTCTCTTTTATACACTTTGAAGTTACACACACCCTTTGGCCTGTGTAGAGCAGTATCCTGCAGACCTCTTTGTATGTGCATAGCATTCCAAATCACTTCTTCATTTTCAAAATTCATTCTCTGTCTCATCCAAACCAGACCTTTCAAGTAATTTTTCCAACAGGACTTAAGATATAACATGCCCAAAGTTATTCAGCAACACTTGCACATTCCTTGCTGCATAAATCAGGGTCACCAAGAACATTTGCTTTCCCTTTTTGCATGGTTACTGCAAGCAGACTTCCCAGAACTTTCCTGAAAAACAAGTGTTACCTGTTGATTTCATGCCTTTTCCTGCTGTTTTCCCTTTGCACAGATCTCCTGCCCTGTCACTCACAGCTGTGTGCATTTCTTTTGGAGTTTCAGCTCTGTGCCAGCTCCTTACTCTATGTTAGGAGTCAGCCTTCCAAAAAGTCCTTCCCTCTCCTGCCTTCCATGTCCTCCTACATCTTCATTTCAATCCCACATCTTTCCCACCACTGGCACAAAGCATACCAAACATGTTCAATACCAAACACATTCAATACAAAAATCACAGCAACCCACTTGCGCCTACGTCTCTATATTAAATATGAGCTTTAAATTTATTATAGAGGCAAACTTTTAGGATTTAACTAGTTTTTCTTGGTTTCTAGTAATTTATAAAGTTCTAGAGTAATTAATATTTTTTACAATCTTCTCTGCAATGAGAAAGAAAACCACACATATGAAAAAATCCGCCTACTTCCAAAGATTCCTAACTTCCAGTCTTTGTGGTTTCAGAAATTTATTAACATCGGAGATTTTTCATATTTGAGTCAAATCACCTAAACTCACCATAATACTAAAAGATTTCTTTTATAGGTTTATGTGGCAGAACATCTTCTGTGCCAAACTAGGCTTTTACCCTGCTGTAAACATGGCCCTGCTAGGCAGAAGATCCATTCTGTGGTTTGTTTTCAGTTCAGTAAGCATCTGGGAAGTCATTACTCTGACAGGAACAACTCTACTCTGATCCAAATGGCATCAATCTGTCCTGGCCTTAAAAAGTGGAGAGGTCAGTCACCTGGTAGAAAGAATGCTAAAACAAATGTCATGAATAATTAATTGATCAAGAAATTTATAGCAGGGGAGTGAAGGATGTCAAGTCCACACTCAAATCATCCAGTTCCCATGTGAAGGGGGACATGCAACACCTTAACAGCAAGTCCCCTTCAATATAGGCAAGTTTTAGCATTAGTTTCTCATGAGTATCCTCAAAAACATTGCAGGTCAATGAAATACAGAGGGAGAGGTATTAACACTTATCCCTTGGAAATAGGAAAGAACTGCTTTGTTTCTGCACACCTGTCTCTAGCATATATCTGTTGTCAACACACCGGATGTGTAAAGTTTTTATTTTTAACCATAAGCCTAAGGTGGCAATGGATGCTTTCAGAATGATGGGCAAACAGCATTCCATTCATAGGGGAGCGGCTACCTCTCCTAACAGGGCTCTGGATAATTCAATACCTGGCCCTGTAATTAATAGGGAAAAGAGGTGAAAGACTACCCTTTCCATCTGAGCAAGTCTAGGAACTGGTAACTCATGATGCCTGCGTGGAGTGAGGGTTTCTGTTGACAGGTATTAGCCAAGAACTCTTAGCATGCAGGTATGAGTGCCAGGAGCATGCCTGAACTTGAAGAGAGGGTTGCCAACAGGAATTCAGGACTAATTTATTTACATCTACACCTCTCTGGAAGAAAATAAGAGATTATCACTTAAATGATGCTGCTTCACTTGAAATCAGCAAACGCGCTTTGGGCAAAGAGGCTTGCAAGGCTTCATAGCAAAAACAAAAGAAAGAATTCACGTTCCTTTACTGTGCCAGCAATGAATACAAATAAAGGCAAAAAAACAAACAAGCATTAAAAACACCCCAAAACAGAAAACAGAGTAACAGTTGGATGAACTGCTATGTCTGAAGTGCTGCCAGATACTACATTTTGAATTAATCATCAGTTTCACCCAGGATGAGTTTAAGAGTCTTGCTATGCACACTAAACTCAATTTCACATGTAGGTCTTACTGGAGACTTAAGCTTCATGTTCCCTCATGCTTGACACTCCTAGCAGTGACCCCAATGCCTGACAAGCTAATATGGCCACACTATTGCTCCTGCTCATTTAAAAGAAAATGCTTTAACAGAGCTGCCACCAAGAACAAGACTTAAACCCCATTTCAGAAATGAAGCTCTGTTGCATTTCCAGCATGGGGTACAAGCTGTGGGCTTCTGCATCAGTTGCAGCAGGGTGCTGCCATGAGGCTGAGCAGGAAGCCATCCTGCACACCCTGCTGCACTTTGTGCAGGGCTGTTTACACCCAGCATGCCACCTCTGATAATTCTGCAGCAAGTTCAGGAGCGCACTATACTTTCCTTTAAGCCCCGGCTGCTATATGTGGTGAGGGGAAAAAAAAACAAACCACCAACCCTGTGACAGTGTATTTGAGTTTTACTGCATCATTCAGGTTAGGGAGGTGCACTGAAACGGTGCAAACCTCTTGGGTTTCCAACAGTACAATTACAAGACAAAAGACAAACGTTGTGCTAATTACATGTTCCCTGACTCGGGAAATTGAAGCTTTAAGGACAAAACCCAAACAGCCAATGACTCAGCAGGACCAGCATCTGCTTCCTGCCCAGCACACAAGAGCTGGTTTTCCTTAGGACCCTGTGCTTCAAATGGTCCTGTCCCTTCACCTTCAATGCTGAAATGTTCTGCTTATGAACCACCAGGGAAAAGTTTAACCTAAGCCAATCACACACAATTGAAAAGGCACATTTGTTTGCTAGGTAGATGGTATTTGCCTTGTGCTAGGCTGTTCATTCACTGGCTTTACAGGATCTTATTCTTTGACTTAGGAAAAATGATTCCTGTTAGCAGAGAACAGCATCTAGCAAGAATGACAATGCTTCATACAGGAGATAAGTAGATCTTCTGACAGGCCAACTGACATGAAACCAAGTAATAAATTAGCTGCAAAATTAAGTCCCTCCAGATGCAGTGCCTGAGCACATTTGCTTCGTAATTTATTTTGCTAATGCATACAGAAATATTCAAGCTTCAAGACTAAGAAGTGAGGTTATTTGTTTGCAACTGTCTTCTCATTACACCTGTCTTGATATTCTTTTCATGAAACAAAGTGCCTGAGGTGTTGATTCATTAATTCTTATTCAAGTATCTCCTGGTAGCACTCTGGAGAGTCCGGCCCGGTACAGAGTCCATGGATCCCATATGAATGTTTGGAATGGGGGAAAGCACAGTGCAGCTCAGACTACACACTTCCATGAAATTCAGAACTCAGTTTTCTGGTCACAAAGCAAAGAAAAATTATGTCTTCTGCCACTGTTCCTATATATTCTTCCCTGTGTTTCTGAGATGCAGAGCAGAAAACAAGGGGAAAAATAAAATAAAATGCTCCAAGCTACTGCCTCAGCACCTTAATAAAAGGGAATAAACCAATAAAAGGCAAATAAAAAGTAAACACACTTCAATGAAGTCTGCAAAAACTTAAGCCTCAGGGGTTTGTTTGTTTGCATGTATATTTTATAAATAGTTGGCAGAATAAGTTTGCCAACGTGGACGTTGAGTAAATTAAAAGTAAACACTGAAGATCATTTAGAAAAAGCAAATTTTGATGCAGCAATCCCAATATGTATAGGACTTCCCATAGTTACCTTATCCAAAAGTGAAGTCTCAAACTACATGAACAGCCCTGCTGAAAGGGACAGTGAAAGGAAGTGAAGTGTTTTTCTGGAGTATTATCTAACACTGAACACTCCTGCCCAGCTGCCCATGTGATTTATCTGTCTGATCATAACAGCTCAGCTTTCAAATATCAAAGGTTTTCAGATCATTCGTAGGAAAGCAGCAGCAGCAGACCAAGGCCTTTTCTATGAAGTCAGAGAAAATACCTTTGGGAATAAATGATCTTTCCCTGGAAAGTTGCTCAGAAACTATCCCAAAGAAGGAGCCCCATACTTTGAGGCTTGCAGCCTGGCTCTGTGCAGCCAGAAGCAGATCAAAACCAGTGACACCAAAAGGACTCTCATGGAAATGATTACTGTTGTGTGGGGCCAGACCACCAACTGGAGTAGTTTTAAGGGCGTGGGGAGAGAGATGAGACACAGAAGTTGAATCCCAGTGCTGCAACACAGCCCTGCTCAGGTTCTCCTGCCAGGATTTTCATCTTCGTATTCCTCCCCTCTTCTGTTTCCCTATGTAAGAAAGGGACAGGAGGATTATGCAAGTGAGCTCTCGCCTGCCTGCAGGGATGGCTAGAATGGGTAGGGTGCCATCAGGCAGCTCCAGCACAGGGCAGGAAGGGCACGAGCTCCTGGGGCTCCATCAGCAAGGTCACACAACTGCACTGTCCAAAACTGCTGCACACAGAGCTCTTCAGTCACACCAGCACTTCTGACAACCACGATTCCACCAGCACCATGTTTGGCTGGAACACAGGGAAAGGCTTTCAGCAAAACCCTGCTGGCGTGGCACGATCAGCAGTGGCCTCTCAAAGGGAACACACTGACCTCCAAACTTGTAGTATTGTCATCCTGACCTTATGGTCCTGCTCAGGTGAATTAGCAAATCACCATCTTCAGGTGACTACAAAAGAAAAAAGGGGTTTTTTTGGGTAACTTTTTAAAAAATAAACAGCTTCCTACCAGTATTAAACTGAAAACATGTTTCTATGGCTCTGGAAAAAAAAAAAAAAAAAAACAAACCATGAATTCTTTATCAAAAGAAAACATTTTTCAGGCACGCCCGAAGATATTGCGGAAAAAAACCCCTTACTTATCTACACAAATATAGCAGGAGGCCAGACTCAGGAACAGAAAACATAGTTCTATGAAGAGAAAACTGTGGATTAGAGATACTTATAGCCCTTATAAATTGTAAGTATGTACGAATATATTCAGCCTCCTGAGGTTTCCAGGTAGCAGAAAACAGCTGAAGGTATGCAAATCACTTTGGAGCTGCCCTTGGTATAAATTTGTCCTCAATGTAGCACTGCTATGTTTCAGTTTCTAATTCCATTCTGCTCTAATAATAAATTCTCTTTAGAGACCTTGACTTTCCATAGAAAATTAACCAAAATGTAATATATATTCAGACACCTGGTAGCATATTTGCATATGTGAGATAATGCATGTCAAGATCCTACAAAATAAAAAAAACCCAGAGTTTGGAAATGGACATGTTTCTGCATTACAATCCATTTGAGACAGACTATTTGAGACAGACTTAGAATGAAGGCTAAAAAATTTGCTACAATTTTATATACCCATTGAATTGGTGTGTTTGTTCATTTTGCTCATCAAAATATCCCCTCAATTTGATCTTTCAGAGTGTGCAAGCACTGTCATTTACACCCATAGGAAAAAAAAAAAAAAAAAAGAAAAAAGCCTAGGTAAGAAAGGCCAAACTCTAGGAAAATCTAGAGCAGTTAAATAAAAGGTTTCCAGTATAAGAGAAAGTTAAAGATATCGGGTATAGCTATGCCATGGTTTAACCACAGCTGGCAACTAAGCACCCCACAGCTGGTCACTCAATACCATCCTTGGGATGGTGGAAAGAGAACTAGAAGGATAAAAGTGGAAAACTCAGGGGTTTGCATAAGAACAGATTAATAACGGAAATAAAATAAAAACTTATAACTTATAACTGAAATAAAATAAAAAATTATAATAAAATGAAAACAATAACGAGACAAATAAAGCCCAAGAAATAAAAGAGATGCAAATTAAAACAATCATTCAGTACAAACACACCAATACCCAGCCAGTCCCTCAACAGCAGCTCCCCAATCCACCTTACCCCCAGTTTTATTGCCAAACATGATGCCATACGGTACGGGATACTCCTGTGGTCATTTGGGGTCAGCTGTCCTGGCCATGCCCCCTCCCAAATCCTTGTACACCCCCAGCTGCTCAGTGTTGGGATGAGAAGCAGAAGCAACCTTGGCTCAGTGTAGGCACTGCCCAACAGGAACTAAAAGCTCCCTGAATGATCACTCCATACTGACCTACTACATACAAACAGTTCCATACTAACCACTGCAGGGAAACTGACCCCAGCCAGAACCAGCACCAGCTATCCAATATTAACAACCAAGTCTGTCTTGCCTCATAGACTCATTTTTGCACTCTTCATGAAACTGCCTCCCTCTACACATATATAAACACATTCAAACTGTATCATCTGTCAAGAATTCAGCTATCTGTACTTCCCTCAATTTGACTTTTCTGGTAACAATAACAAGGATGCTGACATGTAACCAAAACCAAACAGACACAAAATCCCCTCTGACCTTCAAGCCATCCTTTGAATCTGACACTGAAGAACACACTCTGAACGCAGGTGGGGACTTTGGCTGACATATGCTTGCCCCAAATAGAGCATCTTCAGTCATAAGGAACATCTGCCTCACACCTGCATTAGGTGGGAGGCAGTGCCCTTAGGAAAGCAAATAGGGCAACAGGGGAAAGTGAAAAATGAACTCATGAGCAGAAGTTTACATTAAAGCTTTTTTTTTTCTTCCAGAGATACAAGAAGTATTAGAAGAGTCTTTATATTTTCCCAGTGGTATCTGACATTGGCTACTGTCCATCTCAAAAATACGTAGGAGAGAAGCAAAAAGATATATCCTAGTAAGTCCTCACCAAAACCAGAAAGAGACCTTGGGAAAAAGTTACAAACGCAGAGAACAAACAGATTGTGTGTGGGGTGGAAAGGCTGAAGGCCACAGAGGAGGTCATTTCAGAAGAAAAAAAAAGAAAACAGGAAGAAAGAAGAAAATACCTGATCGTTATTCAGCAGCACTAAACAGCTTCTGAAGGTACTCTCCCAGAGAGAGAAGTGCTGCCTCAGGGCAATAGGCATGAGAGCGGATGGGGTACTTATGTACTGATGTAGAAGCCTGGAGTTCCCTCCCTGCCTGCAAGCAATTGACAAAACAAAAAGGCTTTCTGGCAAGAGCCTGCATCTGGAATGCTCTGCCTGGCTGCCACCCCCAGCCTGTGGCATGGGGCCGTACAGCGCAGTCTTTGGGAGGGAAGCACAGATCCCTTCCCTTATAAACACCCACTGCCCGCTTCGTGGGGATAGAGCCATCAATTTCTTGGCTTCTGTCCTTACTTCTACTCTTCACTCCGACAAAACTGAGGTCACTTTTATGTTATCCACACCTCTATAGAAAACTTATTTTGCAATACTCTAACCTCTTATTTAGCCAGAACACCACTGAACACCTGCAAACCAGCGCTATTGAAGAGTACACTATCACAAGAGCCAAATACCAAGTTTGACCTATCCTTCTTATCCATTTACTGGAATGATTAAAAAAACAAAGGTGGATAGCACACTGGTGTTGTTGCTTGGCTCACTCAAAGTATAGAATAGTATGATAAGGTGATAAGGACTAGTACAGTCTACAAGAAGCTAATGTTGAATTTGTTACAGCATAATTAGCTGCAGCTTCAACCTTGTGAGGATAAGTAACCTAGTAAACATCATAACAGCTGCAGAACAGCAGAGCTACACTGACTAGGAACTAAATCCTGCTCATAGAAAATTGAGTGTTGCATTGAATGCAATTGGCTGTCTCTTGATTTAATGAAAAAATGACAGCTGCTAATCCACAGAGTAAATCTTCACATTTTCAGCTTTCAAAGACACAAGTCTTTGTCAAGCTTGAGCTCACAGTCTTTCCTCCCCACCTTCACCCTCCACATCTCCCCCCAGCAGGGATAGGTTTGAGAATCTGTCTTTATAACTTCCCTGAATAATAGCTAGCAGGTCTGGGTTCAAGAGCTGGGTATATTTTTGACCAAAGACCCAAAACAGAGAGAAATACATAATTTTCTGTGCCTACACCTTCTACGGACACATCCTGGTATCATTTCAAGTTGTGTGTGTTCTTATTTTATTCAACATTAAGAGATAACAGCAAGATCCTTTATCGCTTGTAATTGATGTAGTTCTGAAGGTACTGCACAAACTCTGTCAGGCTGAAATTGTTTGAAAAATCCCAACATAAAATAAGAGTAGATAACCAGTCCAACCTCTGTTAAAGTCAGGGAAAGTCCCCTGCTCACATCAATAATTTTAGAAATAGTTCCTACTGTGAAGACAGTAAGGAGACTAAGCAGAGTACAGTGAGGGAGTGTTCAATTGTAGGACCTAAGTTCAACTGATCTTGAACACAAGTTTAAACGAGTTTACTTGTCATAAACAGCACACATCAAACCCGTTGCTAAAGAACATCTGCCTAGATTTGCTGTGATGCTGGAGCCCTGCTATGGTCTGTGCAGCCCCGTGGTCTGTAGCCCTGTGCTTCCAGCTACGTGCTCTCAGACAGGCTTTCCTGAGCACAGCTTACTGCTGCACTCTTGCATAATACACTTCTGGAAGGGAATACGTGCTGCAGCTTGATGTTGATTTTTATTAACACGCAGATCTCAACTGAGAATTGAGTGACACAGGACTAACTCGTTACTGATTAAAAGTTAGGAAACAAATTATGAGATCAAAGTAAGTTATTAAAAAATAAAGCCCCACAAAGCCTAATATCACATCCTAGACAGAAACTCTTAGTTGGAGATGCTGAAAAGTATCCAGCATTGAGTAAACAAACAAAGCATTTTCCACCTTCACAGCCCTTATACCATTTGTGAAGAGATGTTTCAGCTGCTCAAGCAGATAAGATGCTAGATAAACTTGTATTTTAGGAAATTGAAAAATT